ATTTGTTTTTTTAGTTTACCATGTTATATTGATCCTGCTTTCCAGAACAGACACATTTCGGTTCTAACACATTTTCATGATTTACCTCTCAAAGCCCATTGATTCTCTATGCACCATCTGCTTTAACACATTAAAACTCTCCATTCTGCCCACAGAGCGCATTTGTGTGTTTCGTGTGGCTCTTACAATAAAGAGGTATTGTTCCCGCAAACAGTCTCTGCCGATTGGCTTCTCTAGCTGTGAGGTAGAACTGAATTTTTACATATTATCCAGAAGAATTTCAATCTTTCAAGGGATAAACTTTCAATTACTGCAACTATTACTACTAGTACTATTACTAGTACTACTAGTAGTAGTAGCAGTAGTCGTAGTAGAAGTAATGTTATTTACTAGCTAACTACGAGTAATTTCTAATGGGAAAACACCGGAGGACATAATTCATAAGAGATTAATTTAGCCCCATTTTTCGGTATTTAGTTAGCTAGCAATCTGAAAAGTTAATTATTCTTCATTCCTTTGGATAGTAACTTAATTAACTACTTCGTCATGTAATAAAAACTATCCCTGTAACAGGCCGTGGAGGCCCATAGTGTTGTGAGACGTCAATATTCCCGCATTCTTCTAGACAATCGGCTCACAGATGGCGGTGAAACTGTCACCCTTACGCGCCGGCCGCCATTTATCCTCAGGAAGATTCCTGGCACTCAGGTCCATTAGAGGTTGAGCCGACCCAAGGGCAATAGTGCTGCTCGAAGGATTAGGCAAATTGGAAAAAACATCCTATGGCCTCATCTGGAAACGAGCCCGTGACCTTCCAATTGTAACATAATGCCTCAACCAACTACGCTACCGTGTGCCCCCTCTAACTAATTGATTAGCTTTGGGTGCGTTCGCATTGAAAATTTACAAAAATACAAGTTGACTCTGAAACAATGTCGAGGTTTTCCTCTATAGGCTATGGAAACTCCGAAAATAATTTAGAATATGTACCAGGAATCTTCCTGGCGAGTAAAGGGCGGCCGGAGCGTAAGGCTGACAACCTTACCGCCATCTGTGAGCTGATTGTCTAGAAAATGTGGGAACCTCAATGTCTCACAACCCTATTGGCCTCCACGGCCTGTTACAGGGATAGCTTACATATTACCACACATAGCAATATCTGTGAAAATTTCGACAACTGTGGACCACTACATGGGCGATCGGCACACAGGCGGGTCACTTGGCTGTCATAATATTCCACCTAGCCGTAAAGGGGACACATGTGTAGTTTTATTCTGCTAATAAGAGAGTAGTTATAGTGCAAGTTGGCATAATCTAATTTAAAGTTTCTTTAAACAAAGATTCATCATATGGACTATCTACTGTAATACTGAGGACTCGTACAATATGGTGGACCGAAACGGACCACAGTTTGAGAAACACAAACTTCAGTAAATATTAACATCTAATGTGTCTAAATCTCTAGCAGTAGGGCACGAATGTACTTCGCTGCTCATATCATTTGACACAATCCTGAGCTAGACAAACCGCCGCTGAACCTCATAATTCCTCCCTGTGATTCTACATAAAACTATCCTTCCGTCTCCTCTGAGTTCTAAGCGGACGTAATCCAAACGGTCCCCTTAAAAGCTTCTTGTTTCTTCCACTGTATGTTTACACCATTAAGTGCGATCTCCCCATTAAGGATTCCTTAACAGATGTCCTTTCCTGACAGCTGTACAATATCGTTGCCTTTATGTCAACATAGAACTCTAGGAGTGCGCGAATAAGCCCCTGAAATAAAGTAGAACTGCGTGAACAGGATTAGAACTGTCCATTAATAAATTATTATACAATCTCTGTTGAAAAGGAAACAATCCGAACTTCATTTATAATACAAATATCAATTTCAAAGTTGTTTAGGATGAAACAAAAAGGGAGTAACTCCATAACAGATGTAGGGAAATAATTTCGCAGAATTAAAAATCTTATGAAATCTGAACTGGACTAAGTGAACAGATTAATGGCTGGACAAATGAATGAATTGATGGATAACTAAAGGAGACACTGGCTGGCTGCCTCTTTGACTAAGAAACAGAGTGCTTAACAGACAGATTGACGAATAACCAAGTGGCTGTATGACTTACCTACTCACTCAGTCAACAACTAAGTGGTTAACTGACTAACTCACCTACTCATTCAGTCAGTAACCAAGTGGTTGAATGACTGATTCACCTACTCAATCAGTCAATAACCAAGTGGTTGACTGACTCACCTACTTAATCAGTCAATAACCAAGCGGTTGACTTACTGGCTCATCTACTCAAACATTCAATAAACAAGTGGTTGACTGACTCACCTACTTCATCAATCAATAACCAAGTGGTTGACTGACTCACCTTCTCATTCAGCCAATAACCAAGTGGTTGACTGACTGATTCACCTACTCAATCAGTCAATAACCAAGTGGTTGACTGACTGACTGACTCATCTACTCAAACATTCAATAAACAAGTGGTTGACTGACTCACCTACTTAATCAATCAATAACCAAGTGGTTGACTGACTCACCTCATTCAGTCAATAACCAAGTGGTTGACTAACTGACCTACTTACTCAGTCAATAACCATTTAGCCGACTGACTGATTCACCTACTTACTCACGCATCGATGGCTGGATTGCCAACAAGTTACTGACTGGTACCATTTAGCAAAGAATGATAATCACAGCGATGAGAAGCATGGAATCCCGGATAAAGTGCTTCCACTTTAGAACTAAACACCAAGCACGGGGATGGAGATGGTTGAGATAAGCGTAATTATGCAGCACGCGCATAAACTACGGACTGACTGATCGGTTGTTTCAGGCAGCTGCAATTGTATTTCGTTCCACAGCTCAGTATAATGAATGGAATTCGAAGCGCGATTTCCCCTGTCATTCATGCCTCTCGTAACCGAAATCACGTTTCCATGTCGGTGGCACAGCAGGGCTCAGAGCAAATTCCATAGGAAACGCCGTGGTCTTCTTTATTGCACAAGAGGAGATAGCAGCGCGCCCTTGTTAACTACAGAACCAATGAGCGCAAACAATTCCATTTAGCAGTCTTCCTCTTGTGAAATGACAGTAGCTCAACTGGTAGTGTAATTCTTCGTCTGTGGAAACCAAATGTTCATATCCATGCACACAAAAGCCCGCCATTAGACCCCAATCGTAAGCATGTTTGACCCAGTCCCCACAATTACCTAATGTTTAAAATCCATTTTAATATCATTCTTAAATTTATGTCCGAGACAATTAACTGATCCGTTCCATTCCGGTTTACCTACAAACATACTGCATTTCGCACCACCCCCCCCTTCATGCGTGCTGCATGTTCAATTCGTTTCAACCCACTGTCTTCAATTTGATCATTCTAATTATATTCGGTGAAGTATTCAAATGGAAATTAATCTCATCGTCGTGCTATTTATGTTATCTATATGGAAGCTGTGCGAACATTTGTGGTGGGGAGATATTTCATGTAAGGCCCTGAAACTCGGTGAAAGATCGACATGTTAGCCTAGCCACGCCCTCTGGTAGAAATCTAACGAATTATCTATGGATATACCCATAATAGGTCCGTGCCGTGCTGTATGCAGAATTATTTCGAATATTGGCTCTACCAGGATCTAACTGCTTGTTCCGTCTGAACGACAAAGAGTAATGGCTGAACGGATCAACACAAGAAATGTCTGTTACCTTTTTTACCTAGAAATAGATTTGCTTATTGCTCGAGAATCATCCGATCCCAGTGTTTTCAGGTTTTTGGCATTCGATGGACTTTAGAAAGCAGAGAAAAAATAAAACTCGATTACTGTATATGTCTGTTATAGCAAGAGAGATATGAAATTTTGAATTAGAAAAAGTAAAATTTTAAAAAATTCCAAAAGGACAATGGTACATATTTTCTTTACGTAAACTGACTGTTATTTCACTCAACTAATATTCTACCAAGCACAGATCGTGGCATTTAAATTCAACCACACGCTGAGTATCCTGGTTACTGAACTGAAAATGTAGAATATCCTTACATGTTTTGTAATTACTTTGTATTAATATCATTAAGTTCCAACATCATAATTTCTCAGTGTATTACTCTACCAGATGTTACGTAAGCATTACTCCCGCAAAATGTCGACTGCATCCGGTACTATTAAATATGTTATCTCTTTACATTCAGTACCATGTACTGAAAAGACATGAAATTTCCCATCTCTGTAGCCGGTGTTCCGTCGTTCCTTAATTGTGCTTTCCGCAGTTGCTGTGAATTCTGTTTTCAAGTTTTCGATCTGTTAGAAGGTATCACTAAAACAAACTCCGTTGTTTTAGTCCGCAAGCGAACTATACCGACCAAGCGACCGCGGCTTGTCAACGAAGTTAGTGCCAACTTTAGTGGATAGAGGGTGTCGCGTGGTCAGCGCAACAAATCCCCATGGCCGTAATTTCGGTTTTCTAGACCGGAGCCGCTATTTCCTTGAAATAGCTCCTCAATTATTCTCACGAGGCTGAGTGAACCCCGTTCCAGACCCACTACTTCTAAGGAAATGTAGTAACGCCGGGAATAGAACCCGGACCTCTGGATCTGTAGCCAGGAACTCTGACCACTAGACCACAGAGCCGGTCAGAGGGTATTAATAACCGATAATAAATTCCTAACTCTTAGGTGTTCCAATAGAAAATTCATTAATTTCGTAAAAGTATTGCATCTTGTTGATGGCCCTGTGAGTGCATTCTAAATTTGAGCACGCCTTTCCAGTATTGTTTATTAAAACAGCGAGTCGAAAGAAACCCCCTATGTGTATATATACGAACATACTCGTAGTTGGGCCCTTCTTCATCTTAACTTTCAGTCCGATGTTCCTTTAAAAATAACGAGGGAATCGATTTCTTTATCCAACTCCAGTCAAACTCACAGTCAGGGAATTGCTTATAATCCCTTTGCTTCAAACAAATCCAGTCTTCTCCTGCACACTTTACGGAGTGCGACAGTTGTTTCGGAGCTACGAAACTGAAGGAAAATATTTTCAGCATGATGAGGTATGAAGAATTCTTCTTTCTTTATAATAATAAAGTAGTTTTGAATAAAGAAAGACCCTATTTCAATGACGGAAATTTAAGGGAGTTATGGCAATTTAAATATGGAGATGAGCCTGTAATATGGAATTTTCAACGAAAAAAAATGTCATAATAACTTCAAATTAGACCTAGAATAAAGTTATTTAATAATGTAATATATTGGGAGTTCTCGAGGGCACAGTTGAACACAATGTGATGAGTTCATTACACACGAGTCAATAACTAACTGATGGTTCAAATTCTTACATAAAGAGTCAAATTACATCAAGTCCACTCCCTCACTCCCCTTTCCTACAAGACCCATTTTAATATAATTTTCCGAACTTCATTTGTGTCTCCAAAGTAAGCTCGTCCTTGAGTTTTTCCTATTAACCTTTTGCATGCATGATTTGTTTTGCTCGCACAAAGTACATGCCCTGCAGGTATCAGAGTTCATGACTTAATTACCCTAACAATATTGGGTGCAGAGTGAAGCTCAACTTTCTTCATGTTTTCTTTTCTTTAATCTCCGATAATTTCCGCCCTCTTAAGTTAAAATATTATCTTCATTTCGTTTTCAAACACAGTCCATTTTCTCTGGATTCCATTTAGATTGAAGAATAGAATCTTAGGCACACATAAAGGGTTGAAATTTGAATTTTATGTATTCAAATCTTGGGCTCTTATCAAGAAATCTGAAGGTATATGCTTATTCTTGTACGTCTGCTTTCAACGATATCGAGGCTACACAGCGTCAATGATAGGATGATCAATGACTACGAGGTACTTGGTGGAATATTGTAAATATTTGTAAGGGAAACCGAAGGGCTCGGAGAAAACCTGCATCAGAACTACTTATTTTCGCCACAAATCCCACGCAAATTAACCTAGAATCAAACCCGGGACGCCGATATGTCAAGCCCGTAACCATCAGCCTTGAGCTACGACACGTAAAATGTGTGTTTACGTTCCGTCACAAGGTCACAGGAAAGTCATAGGAGACGTAATAAATGTTTTGAAAATATGAGGAAGTTAAAATATCTGGAAGCGACAGTAACCCCCCCCCCAAAAAAAATGATAGTGACGAAGAGGATTAAATTCGGGAAATGCTTGCCAACATACAGTTCATAATATTCTGTCTTTCAGTGTTATGTCTAAAATTTAGAGATTAAAACAAAGAACGCTACAATTTTACCAATATTAACATTAATGTGAAACGTGGTCTCTAACCGTAAGTGGTGAACACAAGTCGGCGTTGTTTGATAGTAAGTTGTGAAAGAAATATTTTGATTTTAAAAAGGAAGCAACAGGAGAATGAAGAAAACCGCAAAATTGGGAGGTTCATAAAAAGAAACTCATACAATAGTCACACCAAGTGGGATGCGATGGGGCGTACATGTGGGGGTGTTCAGAATGCATATATAATTTTAGTTGGAAAAACTGAAGGGAGGAAACCACTAAGGAATCTTAGGCGAAGATGGAAGAATAATTGATTAGTTGTATCAAACACATCCTGTGTGAATGGCCGCGCCATAGCTCAAGAGGTTAGTCGATGGCTTCCCACCGCGGCGGCCCGAGTTCGATCCCAGGTCTGGTCAAGTGCGATTTGTGATAGACAAAGTGGCGCTGGGGCGGGTTTTCTCCGAGTATTTCGGTTTACCCTGCCAATCTTCATTCTACCAAATTCTCCATCATCATAATCACCCGGGGCAAGCTACAATAGGCCAATCAGTGGCCGCCGTGCCGAGTGGACCCAGCTGGACTCCACTCCCCACTAAGCGGATTAAAAAAAAAAACATCCTGTGTAAGGCACATTGTGTCTTCTGCTAACAGAACATTACATACATACATACTGTAATTATGTGAGGGCAACAGCGGTATGTCTCTCTGTTAGTGCATGGTTGACAGAGCTAGTGTCATGTACACTAGTTGTACCAAACACACCCTGTGTGAATGGCCGCGTCATAGCTCAAGCTATGACTTTCTAAAAAAAAAGTCAGACTTCCTCTGTTGAAAATTATAGGTCCATAGCTTTTCCCAACAGATTTTTCGATGTCTTTTTTATCATACATAATCAGGTTTCTCATTCTTTTAAAATAGAAATTTAACCCTTCCTAGCATGGTTTTATCACATCTAAATCTACTGTTACCAACTTAGTCACTTTCCTTGACTTCGTTCTCCCTTTAGTCTGTTTAAAAAGTCAAACTGACTATTTTGAGTTTAGTAATGCTTTCGACATTCTTCCACACGCACTGCTTCACGACGAACCCAGTAACTATGGATTATCTTCCGGTCATTTAAACTGGTTTCTCAGTTATTTAACAAATAGACAATCTCGTGTGCGTTATTGTGGTATATTTTCGCGACACTTGTTTTGCAGTCAGACGTACTTCAGGGGTAGTTTTAGTGCCTTTGTTTCTAATATTTTTATAAATGATTTATGTGACGTAATTAATCACTCCGACTGTCTTCTTTTTGCAGACGACCGTAAAATTTATCGAGCAGTGCATTCACCTAGTGACTGGTTTCTTCTGCAGTCAGATATTGTTTGCGTACATAATGGGTGTTCGGAAAATTTCATGTAGCCTAATTTTAGTAAAATTTGGGTCATCTCCTTTACCAGGAAGACGATCTTTCTGAATTATCATTACTGACTTGGAAATTCTTTATTTTACGAACAGACTGTATTACGAATTTGCGTGTGCATATTGAATGCAAACTTCATTTTCAGCGTCATTCGATTTTCCTTCTTCATATGCACTGAAATTACTTCGCATAATAAAATTTCCTTTTTCCATCTCAGTCTACCGATGCTATACGTTGTTTCGTCGGGTCTGAACTCGAATATGCTTCTGTCGCTTAGAACTCTGTTACGATTACTGATTCCAATAAACTTGAGTACAATGAAAGAAAATTTGCAGCCCTCTGCAAAAATACATTTCTATTAGGAAATTAGATTTAATTTCCCGTCTAGAAAACCGAGATTAAAGGCCATGGGGAACCGTTGCGCTGGCCACGTGACACCCTCTATCAGCAAAAGTTGGTACTAACTTCGCTGACAAGTGGCGGTCGCTTGTTCGGTATAGTTTGCTTGCGGGCTACAGGCCACAGACTTAATTAGATTTTATTAGATAATTATTATTATTACCTGTTCCTTTCAGAGTCAGTGGAGTTCCTGTACTGCTTCTAGGTCATTTATGGAGCCGTATAATTATTGGTAAGTAACAGGAGTAAGAAATGCTACACCGAATTACATCCAAAGAGAAATGCTCATTAATATGAACAGCTGTGCGCGAGGAGTACAGTCGGGCCCTGAGTACAGACAGTTTCCACTTGCTCTCTTTGCACCTTCGCATTCTGAATGCTCCTAGATGACCCACTTAGACGTACCAGATCTTTACCAAAGTCGAAATAAGAATTCAACGTTTTTTAATGTCCTCTAATATCGAATGACCTCAGAATCTGAAAACGATTCTCGAGTTCAAATATACAGACGTACAATCGATCTGCCATATATAGTTAGTTAGTTATTTAGAGAGGGTGGGTTTCCCCATGCACCGCGACCAGTTTGATCTATTGTGCTTCCCAGTCTCTTTACCCTACCGATAAATGGTGCGTACCATCAGTCCCGCCGAGCAAGCGAGTTCGGCCACTTGCTTAGCGGTGTCTATAATGCTTCCCCCATCTATCGGAGGCCTTAGAGGCTATTGTTGGGCGGGAAACGTCCTGGAATTTGGCTCAGTGATCCCCTTTGGGGATATGAGGTTCTTTTACGTGCCGTAAAGTTACGACACGGGACACACAGCTTAAAGTCCCACCCGGAGATCTGCCATATATAAGTAGAATCCCTAATGCCATGGAAATAACGAATTTTAGTGCTACTTTACAAGAATATACACCGATTTTACACAGCAACTCCATTTATAACCTGTAAGGTACCTGCCTAATTCGTGCGCACAGCAGGAGGGACTTTGAAATCAAACTCTGAGTACTTTAAAGGAAAATTACACATCCATATTTATCTTTTTTGGAGCGATAAATAATCAGTTATTAAAATTAGTTGCGTGTAATTTGATTAGCGAAGATATATTACTATACTTTAAATATATTTCTGTGGAAGTCGAAATAAAAAATACGTATAAAATCATGTTCAGAAAACTCCGAAGGGAGTTGGGAAACGGAAGTAGTTACGACGATAACACTAAAAAGGGCATTAAAGGAATGGGATGTGAGGTTATGAGCTGAATTCAGCAGGCTCAGGGTATGGTTCAGTGCAGATATGGAACTTCCTGCTTGGTGAAGTCAACGTGTATAAGGAAGAAACTTTGCCATCGATGTGGAAATACAGCTCATGATTTGCATAGCTCCGTCACTAGAAGGATGATTCACAACAGCTCGTAACGAACCTTTGAGTTTCATAAAAGAAAAATAATCTTTTGACCAGATCTCAAGGCATTTAAACCGCGGAAAATGTTATAAAATGATAAATATGTTGACGGTGAGAAACTTTATGGTCATATCTGACAACTACGCTGTAATGGGAATTTATATTAATGGGAAAAGCGAAAAAAAAAACAGGTTGGGTACAAATCTACACCGTTATTAATTTCATTATCTACATTTTTCTACGCTGTGATATCGTTGAAACCACTGATAACTGTATATAGTGCAGCTTTTACGAGGTTCATAATACTACTTTGAGCCGTATTCACATTTCAGACAGCGCACCCCTGGTTACACATTATTTTTGCATCTATCTCACTCAGATACATAACACGAAGAAACATAAAATATTTATAAATGTTTTTGCCGAAATGTAGCAGAATTATTCACAGCTTGTAGTGGGAGGGGGGATAAAGGACACTCATCCAAGCGGAGGAGACACGAAGGTAAAATGCAAAGTTGTCTCTGTGCTTAACTAATTATGCTCTAAGCCATGAAGATTTATGGAGGAGTGGATATATAGATCCATGTATTCTGCATCTCGGCAGCAGTTGGACGTGAGTGGTCAGCTTTACGCCCCGGCCGCTTTACAGCCGGGGAAAGGAGAAAAAACTTTCCCCTACCGGGACTCGGAACTCCGATTCCTCGGCCGTCCAGCCCGTAGCCAGTCTCTAAACCGACTGCGCTATCCCAGCTCGGGGTAGACACGAAAACGTTATATCATTACGATGACCCACACCCACTGTCCCATAGCAAAGGAACGGACTTGTGAGGGGGTGTCACACCAGCCAAACTTAAGTTTCGTGAGTGAATGGAAAGCACATCCGGGTGTCATTAAAATAAATAAATTCCATATCAAACCACATTAAACTACTTTTACGCCAAAATAAATGCAAACAAATTAATAATTAAACGTGATTTCTTTTATACACTGAGATAATAAATACAGGCGGGACCCGGCCTTTAGCTACTGGAAGTTCATGGTTAATTTAACTCTACGTTTCTCGCTGGCCTCTGTGTACGAAAGAAAATGTTTAAACAAAAGCAGACTGGTAATTCGCTTAGTGGGGGGTGGAGTCCAACTGGGTCCACTCGGCACGGCGGCACTGATTGGTCTATTGTAGCCTGCCCCGGGTGATTATGATGATGGACAATTTGGTGGAATGAAGATTGACAGGAGAAACCGAAGTACTCGGAGGAAACCTTTCCCAGCGCCACTTTGTCCACCACAAATCCCACTTGACCAGATCGGGGATCGAATCAAGGCCGCCGCTGTGGGAAGCCAGCGACTAACCGCTTGAACTATGGCGCGGCCTTAGCAGACTGGTTAAGTTCTAACCAGAACTGCTTTTATAATACTTTTGCTTTTCCCCATAGAAACTGATACATTGCCAACCTGGCCTCTTTCATGCAATAAGCGGCCGGACACAAAGACAAAGAATTACATTGGTGAGATAGACATTGTGATACAGGCTTAAGTCTGGCCTAAGATAACTGCATCACTTACTACTTCTGGGGTTTTGAAGGGAAGAATTCTCTCTTCGGAGCCATAACATAGGGTTTCATATGTCTGTCCGTCCCACGAACCGGTAATCCACAAGTTGCAGGTCTAGTCCATGTAGTCATTCAATCCAACTAATCTCCCATCCCATGGCGTGGCAGTAAGAGCATTGTTGATATTAATTAGTGGCAGGTCTGCCAATTATACAGCCGATAATGTGTGCGCTAGAAGCTAAGCTTTCATGCAACAATTATAATAAATTTAATGCCCAAATATTACAGAGAAAAACATTTATCAAAATGCCCCCCCCCAACCTTTCGACTTGTTGTGTACATATTTCACAATTAAACCTCTTACGAATGTAAGTAATCCATTGTAGCGAAAATTGAGTTCAATACACGAAAAATAGGTACAAATTAACACACTTCATAGCAAAAATGCGTAAATAGGGTGTCTGTAATATGAGGGATAGTTGTATGTACAGTATTTGTATTTTGTATTTACACACTACATGTAAAAGTTACATTAGGAACCGAAAAAGTATTTTAACATCTTACATAATTTACTGCCTTTGTTTTAATTAAGGCAGATGTCTCAAAGTAATTTATGTTACCTCATTCATATTAAATTTGATTTTTGGACTTCGCTTTTCAATGAATGCATGATTATGTACAGAACAGTGCTACGGACTGACGTATGAGGATGTGAAGACAGCTGGGTCAGGAGTAGAATTCTCTCCAATGGAGCTATTTACCCTGAAACAAGAAGACCTGGAACAAAGTCTTGTTTACCTGGGAAAGGACAGTCTGTCACTAGAACAAGCATCTTCTATATGGAAGGCCTTAGTAAAGGTCAGTTAATAACGGTTAATTGTTGGTTATCCAAGCTTGGGTAGCACTGAAAACTATATTTTATTTCTAGAAAGTAATGTTGCAAACTGACTAACTCCACTGGAGTCCACTCGGCACATCGGCCACTAATTGGCCTATTGTACCTGCCCAGGGTGATTATGATGATGGAAAATTTGGTGGAATGAAGATTGGCAGGGAAAACCGAAGTACCAGGAGAAAACCTGCCTCAGCGCCACTTTGTCCACCAAAATTCCCATTTGACCATATCAGGGCTCGTACCCAGGCTGTCGTGGTGGGGGGCCAGGATCTAACCGCTTGATCTATGGCATGGTCTACAGTACAGATTTCCTGCTCCTATAACAAATAAAAGGGCATTACACCATATGCAAAAATCCTCCATCAAATTTTATTCAGAGCTAGGCCATATTTGGGGGGCAGTGATTAGAGAATCTCCATGGGGCCTCCACAAAACAGAAATAGAACCTGCAGATGTTACTTGTCAGTGATTAGACAATCTCCATGGCGCCTCCACAAAACAGAAATAGAATCCGCAGATGTTACTTGCATATTTATTTCTCCAAAGTCACGAAAACTTGGTTCATATTTTTCGTTAATATAACAAATAAAAACAAAAATATTCTCATAAACTAAATTTGTTGTTAATGGTCTGGGTCTCCACATTCAACTGTAAATCTGACTCGGGTCCTGAGCCAAGAGACTCCAGTCCACACCTTCACACAGTTTCTCTGTGATCTATCTGTGACATTCCTCACTTCCAACTTTTCTCAAGTGTGCTACATATGCTCCTTGACTGGCAACAGAAATCAGATCCTAAATCATCTATTGATAGTTTACAACAAACAAAAAAGGAAACTCCATGGCCTGTAGTCCACAAGCAAACTATACCAACTGAGTGACCGCCACTTTTTGGCGAAGTTAGTGCCAACTTTAGCAGATAGAGGGTGTCGCGTGGTCAGCGCAACAAATCCCCACGGCCGTTAATCTCGGTTTTCTAGACCGGAGCCACTATTTCCTTCAAATAGCTCCTCAATTATCCTCATGAGGCTCAGTGGACCCCGTTCCAGACCCACCATTCCTCAGAAAAGTGAGGTGATGTACAGTACATCTATCCATAATGCCTACGAATATTGTGGTAAGAAAGATGGGCTGGGCTAGCTTATGTATATATATTGGAGGACAAACCCACAAAGGCATACAAAATCTGATATCTGATTGCAACAAACAAGAAAAAGTTGGTAGATCATGTCACATGTATTATGAATATGTACAATAATATGTACAAATTTATGTATTTTAAATATACATAACTTATGAAAATTTTAATAATTTGGTCATTAAATGGTCCTACAAAATACTGCAGAATCAACATGAATTTGTGTATTAGTGTTATAGAGAAATTTAAAAACCTAACAGCTGATCTATAGACTATGAATGGCATTTCATATGATTACAAGGTACAGTATAGTGGTTGAATACTCCTTACAGAAGCAAGTAAACTTAATAGGTACAGATAATCTGTGATGGTGGCCCTAAGACTGAAGCATATTGGGTTAGTTATACTGCAAGTACTGTGAGATAGCATCAGCAAGTGATGTAGATTCTTACATCAACATTACAGTGTTACTGGATTATATTTTCATCATACTTCCAATATACANCTGGGCAGAATTTCAAATGTGCTTGCACAAAACTTATTTTCTGTCAAGCCACCTACACAAAGTAAAATATGCCTGGTTTGTGGAGTAGCTGGCCTTCAATAAATTTTAAATTACATAAACAGAGTTGCATTTTAAAGGGATCTTTTCATTTTGTATGTGGAGTCTGAATAGAAAGGTATGCTATCCAATATAAAAATGTATAGACTAATTGGAAACATCCATTTCTTCATGCAACAGGCATATGGCGATGTGAGCGAAATACCTGACAAGTGTCTGCAGCAGCTAGGATGGATTGCTTCAGGTATCCCACTGGAAGATATAAGTAACATCACGGTAACTGAAATTGATACCATTGCAGCCCTGGGTCAGTTCCACAATCTGTCACTAACACAAGTATGCATTTGTTCGCAAATAAATCAATACATTTCTCTACACTAATTAATAATCCTTAATTCATTATATTAGCTATAGTAAACATTCTTCACCATGGTTCATCCTTTAACTAAACTTTGAATGCTGTCTCTCAGTAATTTCCCATACTTACTTACTTATTCATGGAGCTGAGCCCTTCTTGAGGAGCCGCCAATTCTGCAGCTTCTCAAGAATTTCCTAGCATTTTATTGAACCAGAAAGTTCATCACCATGTTCACAAGAGCCCTCCACTGGTCCCTATCNAGAGGTTCAAAATGGATTTTAAGAAAACAACTTCTAACAATGGAATAAATTAAGAGTTATTACTCATGCATGGAACATGTAGAATTTTTTTTTTCCCCCTGTGGTGCTACAGCCCCAATTTGGGCCTAGACCTACCTCCATGAAACTCTCCGTTTCACTTCGGTTTACTAGATCTTACACATACGGCAGGACTCCTTGGGTGAGTGATCAACTCGTCGCAAGGCCTCTACCTGTAGACAAACACAGAAAAATGCACACAAACATCCATGCCGAGTGGGATTCGAACCCACGATCTCGGTTTCCGAGCGAGCAAAGATGGTGCATGCCTTAGACTGCTCGGCTNGGAACATGTACAATATACTAGGCAATTACAGCTGTCTTTCCCATCACCATTAACACCGTAATAGTAACACACTTTATCATTTGTATATTAAAAAATGGGTAGTTGATATGGTGTACCACATTCACATTCAAATTCATAAAAACCAGTATATGTATATCTGCCAGACATGCTCATCTGTGCAAGCACCAAAAGACTGTTTTCAGTACAACGCATGCAGTAACAGGAGCAAAACACAACACAGAACACAATACACAAATATATGTAGGAAGAATGCTCACATAAAAGAGGATTGGCATAATTCGCGTGTTTGAGTGCAAGTTTTATTATTTAGAATTCATCGTCTTATATGACGAATACAGATTTTAGTCATTTTAGAATGAAGACATTAAGGCATGCAGTACAATANATACAGATCAAAATTATCAACTGCCAATGATACTAATGCGTATCCCAAGTTCGCTATTCCTGCATTGGGTATTATTGTGGAAGATTCTGACAGCAGTTGTAATGACTTATAAGATTAATGTTCTCTTTGCAATCATTTAAACAAACTCAAATTGTAATAATCACAGGGTTGTAAAATAAGAAAAATATCCCTAATGCAGTAATAGGTTTTTCCTTTTTTTTAAAACGTAACTGTTACAAAGAAAGGAGTTGTATATATTCAAACCATTCCCCTGAGAGCACAATAGGCCCACCACTGTATGTACAGGGAACTGCTTGCCAACCAGGACATACCCATAGATCTAAAGCAAGTACTTCGTGAAGTTGCTAAAAATGTAAATTCTCTGGAAGTTAGGCATCTGACTGTCCAATTATTTGATCAGCTTTATGCCGAGATGGTCAGTGACTACACACAGCTCCTATAGCACAAAGGCGTTTGTTGACTTTCATGTGAATAAGCCATAACTCGCCTGTCTGAGCTGTGAGAAGAACTTTGGCTATGTAAATTATCATATATTAAGAAATGTCTTTGCTTGAAGACTGTGGATTTATACTTGCTAAGCAAGGTGATATCTACTATATTCTATGTTCATGAAAAAGTGAGCATGATAATTGCAAAATTGTAACAGTGGGTTAAACGACTCAATCGCGGCCAGTGGATTCTGGACATTAATACAAATTATCTTATCAATGTGGAGCTGCATCTCTGTCTTAAGCTCACCAGAATCAAGCTAGAGATCTCAGCACTACTGTCAGGCCACAACCACTTCCATTCCTCACCAAATAACTAATCTTTTGAGAGAGGCCTACATATACAAATCTAATTTAAATAATTATTACTTTACATTTAACAGAAACTAATGATAAAATTCATAATTTCCTGTATATCTATAGTTCATTTTGGGGGGGGGTCATACTTAGAATTTAATTGTACTGTAGTTTGACCACTTACAAGTTAACTCATTCTGATATAACTCAAACAGAGGTTAAGTTGATGGGGCAGAGGTTTCAAAAGGGGTGCATGTATAATTTTGGGAAACAGTAGTGTGGGGTAAGGAGATGGCTTTATATCCATAAGATACTGAGTCTGAGACCAGCAAAACTTGGTAAAGATCTCTCTTCATGCTTCCTAGCCTGACAGATTCAAATGGTTGTGAATGTGTTATACTGCAGGATTTTTCCATGGTTCACATCCTGCATTAAACTTAGGTCCCATTTTTCTTATTCATCTTCGATATCATCCTATCATCAGAGTCAAATTTCACTCCATGGATATCACTTAAAAAAATAAACTTCTAATATCGCCATTGCTAAACAGGCAGAGACCAGGACAATCAGGGACAACAGAATTTCACAATATGCCACTCTGTGCCCAACATAAGTAATAAACAACAAATGAGCTTATGTCTCTGCCTTTCAGCTCACTGCTTTGGCAGCACAGGTCCACAAAAGCTGGGCAGCCAAGGAACCTGAAGACTACACATGTTATGATCTGATAGCATTACAACATATACTGTGTGGCTTCAACCGCACTGCAATCGAGAGGATACATCCAAGTGCATACAGGTAATACACACTTTCCATAATGGGGTGATCATTTCAAAT